AATCTAATGCATATGTATATGGAAAATGGTGCATTGGCCAGGTCGGTCAGTATGGGAACTTAGAGTGCAAATGCCAGGGAGAACGGAAGCGCTCAGATCTCGCATAATACATGGAATCTAGTGGTCTCACTCAAATATAAGGTAGGAAATATATTCATATAGTGAACGTAAGGGTTTGAAAAGGTAACTAATGCACATGTGTAGAGAAAATGGTGCATCGGCCAGTCTGGCCGGCATTTCGCACTCATAGTGCAGGTGGGGCCAGGGAGAACGAAAACGCTCGTTTCTCAAAACGTAGAGGGAATCTTACGCTCTCACTCGATCAGAAGGTGGGAAATATATAAATCTAGTCAGCTAAAAAGGTTTGAAATGTATTCATTGCACATGTATAGAGAAAATGGTGCATTGGCCAGGTCGGTCAGTATCGGAACTTAAAATGCAAATGCCAGGGAGAACGGAAGCGCTCAGATCTCGCATAGTACACGGAATCAAGTGGTCTCACTCAAATAGAAAGTAGGAAAGGGTTTGAAAGGTAACTAACGCACATGTGTAGAGAAAATTGTGCATCGGCCAGTCTCGCCGGCATTTCGCACTTATAGTGCAACTAGGGCCAAGGAGAACGGAAACGCTCATTACTAAAAAAGTAGAGGGAATCTAGCAGTCTCACTCGATCAGAAGGTGGGAAATATATAAAACTAGTGAGCTAATAAGTTTCGAAAGGAATCTAATGCATATGTATATGGAAAATGGTGCATTGGCCAGGTCGGTCAGTATGGGAACTTAGAGTGCAAATGCCAGGGAGAACAGAAGCGCTCAGATCTCGCATAGTACACGGAATCTAGTGGTCTCACTCAAATAGAAGGTAGGAATTGTATTCATCTAGTGAACGTAAGGGTTTGAAAGGTAACTAACGCACATGTGTAGAGAAAATGGTGCATCGGCTAGTCTGGCCGGCATTTCGCACTTATAGTGCAAGTAGGGCCAAGGAGAACGGAAACGCTCATTTCTCAAAGAGTAAAGGGAATCTAGCGGTCTCACTCGATCAGGTGGGAATTATATAAATCTAGTGAGCTAATAAGGTTCGGAAGGAATCTAATGCATATGTATATGGAAAGTGGTGCATTGGCCAGGTCGGTCAGTATAGGAACTTAGACTGCAAATGCCTGGGAGAACGGAACCGCTCAGATCTCGCATAATACACGGAATCTAGTGGTGTCACTCAAATATAAGGTAGGAAATATATTCATCTAGTGAACGTAAGGGTTTGAAAGGTAACTAACGCACATGTGTAGAGAAAATGGTGCATCGGCCAGTCTGGTCGGCATTTCGCACTCATAGTGCAGGTGGGGCCAGGGAGAACGGAAACGCTTGTTTCTCAAAAAGTAGAGGGAATCTAACGGTCTCACTCGATCAGAAGGTGGGAAATATATAAATCTAGTCAGCTAAAAAGGTTTAAAATGTATTCAACGCACATGTATAGAGAAAATGGGCATTGGCCAGGTCGGTGAGTATTGGAACTTAAAATGCAAATGCCAGGGAGAACGGAAGCGCTCAGATCTCGCATAGTACACGGAAGCAAGTGGTCTCACTCAAATAGAAAGTAGGAAATATATTCATCTAGTGAACGTAAGGGTTTGAAAGGTAACTAACGCACATGTGTAGAGAAAATTGTGCATCGGCGAGTCTGGCCGGCATTTCGCACTTTTAGTGCAACTAGGGCCAAGGAGAACGGAAACACTCATTTCTCAAAAAGTAGAGGGAATCTAGCGGTCTCACTCGATCACAAGGTGGGAAATATATAAATCTAGTGAGCTAATAAGGTTCGAAAGGAATCTAATGCATATGTATATGGAAAAAGGTGCATTGGCCAGGTCGGTCAGTATGGGAACTTAGAGTGCAAATGCCAGGGAGAACAGAAGCGCTCAGATCTCGCATAGTACACGGAATCTAGTGGTCTCACTCAAATAGAAGGTAGTAAATAAATTCATCTAGTGAACGTAAGGGTTTGAAAGGTAACTAACGCACATGTGTAGAGAAAATGGTGCATCGGCCAGTCTGGCCGGCATTTCGCACTTATAGTGCAACTAGGGCCAAGGAGAACGGAAACGCTCATTTCTCAAAAAGTAGAGGGAATCTAGCGGTCTCACTCGATCAAAACGTGGGAAATATATAAATCTAGTGAGCTAATAAGGTTCGAAAGGAATCTAATGCATATGTATATGGAAAATGGTGCATTGGCCAGGTCGGTCAGTATGGGAACTTAGAGTGCAAATGCCTGGGAGAACGGAACCGCTGAGATCCCGCATAATACACGGAATCCTGTGGTCTCACTCAAATATAAGGTAGGAAATATATTCATCTAGTGAACGTAAGGGTTTGAAAGGTAATTAACGCACATGTGTAGAGAAAATGGTGCATCGGCCAGTCTGGCCGGCATTTCGCACTTATAGTGCAAGTAGGGCCAAGAAGAACGGAAACGCTCATTTCTCAAAAAGTCGAGGGAATCTAGCGGTCTCACTCGATCAGAAGGTGGGAAATATATAAATCTAGTGAGCTAATAAGGTTTGGAAGGAATCTAATGCATATGTATATGGAAAGTGGTGCATTGGCCAGGTCGGTCAGTATGGGAACTTAGAGTGCAAATGCCTGGGAGAACGGAACCGCTCAGATCTCGCATAGTACACGGAATCTAGTGGTCTCACTCAAATAAAAGGTAGGAAATAAATTCATCTAGTGAACGTAAGGGTTTGAAAGGTAACTAACGCACATGTGTAGAGAAAATGGTGCATCGGCCAGTCTGGCCGGCATTTCGCACTTATAGTGCAAGTAGGGTCAAGGAGAACGGAAACGCTCATTTCTCAAAAAAAAAAAGGAATCTAACCGTCTCACTCGATCAGAAGGTGGGAAATATATAAATCTAATGAGCTAATAAGGTTCGGAAGGAATCTAATGCATATGTATATGGAAAGTGGTGCATTGGCCAGGTCGGTCAGTATGGGAACTTAGAGTGCAAATGCCTGGGAGAACGGAACCGCTCAGATCTCGCATAATACACGGAATCTAGTGGTCTCACTCAAATATAAGGTAGGAAATATATTCATCTAGTGAACGTAAGGGTTTGAAAGGTAACTAACGCACATGTGTAGAGAAAATGGTGCATCGGCCAGTCTGGCCGGCATTTCGCACTCATAGTGCAAGTAGGGCCAAGGAGAACGGAAACGCTCATTTCTCAAAAAGTAAAGGGAATCTAGCGGTCTCACTCGATCAGAAGGTGGGAAATATGTAAATCTAGTGTGCTTTTAAGGTTCGAAAGGAATCTAATGCATATGTATATGGAAAATGGTGCATTGGCCAGGTCGGTCAGTATGGGAACTTAGAGTGCAAATGCCAGGGAGAACGGAAGCGCTCAGATCTCGCATAGTACACGGAATCTAGTGGTCTCACTCAAATAGAAGGTAGGAAATAAATTCATCTAGTGAACGTAAGGGTTTGAAAGGTAACTAACGCACATGTGTAGGAAAATGGTGCATCGGCCAGTCTGGCCGGCATTTCGCACTTATAGTGCAAGTAGGGCCAAGGAGAACGGAAACGCTCATTTCTCAAAAAGTAGAGGGAATCTAGCGGTCTCACTCGATCAGAAGGTGGGAAATATATAAATCTAGTGAGCTAATAAGGTTCCAAAGGAATCGAATGCATATGTATATGGAAAGTGGTGCATTGGCCAGGTCGGTCAGCATGGGAACTTAGAGTGCAAATGCCTGGGAGAACGGAACCGCTCATATCTCGCATAAGACACGGAATCTAGTGGTCTCACTCAAATATAAGGTAGGAAATATATTCATCTAGTGAACGTAAGGGTTTGAAAGGTAACTAACGCACATGTGTAGAGAAAATGGTGCATCGGCCAGTCTGGCCGGCATTTCGCACTTATAGTGCAAGTAGGGCCAAGGAGAACGGAAACGCTCATTTCTCAAAAAGTAAAGGGAATCTAGCGGTCTCACTCGATCACAAGGTGGGAAATATATAAATCTAGTGAGCTAATAAGGTTCGAAAGGAATTTAATGCATATGTATATGGAAAATGGTGCATTGGCCAGGTCGGTCAGTATGGGAACTTAGAGTGCAAATGCCAGGGAGAACGGAAGCGCTCAGATCTCGCATAGCACACGGAATCTAGTGGTCTCACTCAAATAAAAGGTAGGAAATAAATTCATCTAGTGAACGTAAGGGTTTGAAAGGTAACTAACGCACATGTGTAGAGAAAATGGTGCATCGGCCAATCTGGCCGGCATTTCGCACTTATAGTGCAAGTAGGGCCAAGGAGAACGGAAACGCTGATTTCTCAAAAAGTAAAGGGAATCTAGCGGTCTCACTCGATCAGAAGGTGGGAAATATATAAATCTAGTCAGCTAATAAGGTGCGAAAGGAATCTAATGCATATGTATATGGAAAGTGGTGCATCGGCCAGTCTGGCCGGCATTTCGCACTTATAGTGCAAGTAGGGCCAAGGAAAACAAAAACACTCATTTCTCAAAAAGTAAAGGGAATCTAGCAATCTGACTTCATCAGAAGGTGGGAAATATATAAATCTAGTGAGCTAATAAGGTTCGGAAGGAATCTAATGCATATGTATATGGAAAGTGGTGCATTGGCCAGGTCGGTCTGTGAGAATAAACGAACAGGAATGAATGAACTAGCAGTGAAATGAGTACAAGTAGGAAACCCTAGAATTGTGTACCCCCTATAGGCTAACCCACTGTAGCCTACACAAGCATAACATATATAATGTTTGACACACCCTCATAGGCAAAGTGGGGGAGAACAAGGGGTCACAAGACCAGTCAAGCAAAGCAAAGCAAGCTCAGGGTGGATCACAAAGTCACCACACAGTCCGAGCACAAGAGCAGGGCCAGAGGCCAGTTCACATGCAGGAGGACAGACATATATATAAAACTAGACAAGCAAGAGCAGGTATATATATATGTCACAGTACAAGTGAAGTCAAGAGGAGAGCAAGTGAGGCAAGACAGGCACAAGACCCAGCTGGGTGCAAAAGCGCTGATGGTCACAAGGCGCGAGTGCCTTGGTGAACACATCAGCAGTGTTGGCCTCAGAGGCCACGTACGCAAGTCGCAACTGACCACGCTGCTGCAGCTCACGAGCAAGGAAGTAGCGGAGAGCAATGTGCTTCGTTCTGTGCTCCAAGCGCTGCTCTCGACACAAGGCCAGCATGGCCTTGTTGTCTACGTACAGCACTGGAGGAGAACGAGGCGGCTCTCCAAGGTCAGTCAGCAGGTAGGTGAGCAAGCGAAGCTCCTGTGCAGCCATGGCCCCGGCGTAGATCTCAGCCTCACAACTGGAGCCGAGAACTGAAGACGAGCGAGTAGACCGCCACGAGACAGAGCCGGAACCAAGGCTGAAGGTGTAACCCTGTGACGACCGCTGCGTAGCCTGGTCGTCAGCCCAAGAAGCGTCCGCGTGACCAGTGAGGACCACTGGACTCCGCCCTCCAAGCACTAGCCCCATGCCCGACGTACTGCACAGGTAGCGCAATACCTTCTTCGCTGCTGCCATGTGCTCTGGTCGGTGTCTCCCAGGAGCAACATAGCGTGCAAGAATGCTCAGAGGGTATGCAAGGTCAGGTCGTGTGCAGGTCATCAGGTACATGAGGCAGCCAACAAGCTCTGCATACGGACCACTCGACTCTACGGACTCATCCGAAGGCAGAGCTGAGAGTGAGTGGCGAGTAGGCAGAGGAGTGGCCTGAGGCGAGGAGTACGTGAAGCCGAAGCGCTGAAGGACCTGCTGCACCATGTGTGACTGAGTCAAGGTAATGGTGCGGCGTGCTCTGTCCCGAGTGATCTGCAAGCCAAGGTAGCTGCGCAGTTCACCCAGGTCTGTGCACGTGTGTCTCTTCAGCAGCTCGGACTTCACGTAGGCGAGTCCAGCAGTGTTCGCTGTGGCAAAGACCAAGTCGTCGACGTACAAGAGGATGTAGAACTGCGGCAGGGAAGTGTCGGTGCGAAGAAACAGCGACGGGTCAGTAGTAGAAGGAGCAAACCCAAGAGCCGCAAGCGTAGTCCTCAGTGTGTCGTGCCACTCACGCGGTGCCTGGCGGAGACCGTAGACTGGCCGTCGGAGGCTCCACTGGGTGCCAGGAGGGAAAGTCCCCGTGAAGCCAGGCGGACGGCGCAGCTAGATCTCCTCGTGCAGGCTACCCTGCAGAAACGCAGTGCTGAAGTCGAGAGAGTGAAGCTCGTAGTCGCGCTGAGCGGCTATGTGCAGCAGCACCCGAAGAGTAGTCATCTTCGGGGTGGGAGAGAAGGTCTGAAAGTAGTCAACTCCCTGCCGCTGACTGAAGCCACGAGCAACGTACCGTGCCTTGAAGAGAGGTGGAGAGCCCGGCGGCCGCTTCACCCTGAAGATCCACATGCCACTGACGATGTTCGCCCCAGGAGGGGGAACCGCGTCAACGTAGGTGCCTGTGGACTTCCAGGAAGCCATCTCTGCATCCATAGCTGCCTGCCACTGAGAGGAGTAGGGACCCTCTACGGCCTCCGTGTAAGAACGCGGAGTCGGGATGTCTAGTGCATCCGGGTCTCCCTCAGGGGCAAGCAGTACAGACGCGAGATGAGGTGAAGCAGCCGCTAGACACTGTAACTCCTCCTGCCTGTCCTCTAGGACGTCCGTGCCAAGAGCACACTCACCCCCGACGGACGGAGGACAGACAGACGCAGACTCAGCCACAAGACTAGCAGCGTAGTCGAGACGACAGCGAGCAGCAAAGTCGACGAGCTCAGCGACTAGAGCAGACGCAGTAGTGGACTCAAAAGAGGGGTCAGTGACGACAGTAGCAAGCAGACGCGTGACAGTAGGACTGGCAGCACGAAGAGAGTCCGACTCAGGGTCGGCAAGCGCAGGAAGAGAGGACTCAGGAGGAGAAGGCAAAGGGGCACGCAGAGGAGCAGTGGACGGACGCAGAGACATCCGGTGCGTGCCAGGGACAGGAGGAGGACGCTGACGCGAACTGCGACCACTAGCGCGAGCAGCACGAACAGGCGACGCGGGACGAGACGCAGGCTCACGACGCTCAGCAAGACCTCCAGTAGGACCAGTGTAAGGAGAGGGAGCAGGCAGTGGAGAGGAAGGCTCCAGCAGGGACTGCGACTGGACAGGCGGTGGACCCTCTACTGGAGGAGAAAGACCAAGAACCTGCTGCAGGAACGGAACGAAGTACGGCCGAGGCCGCGCGGCAGCTCCAGACTCAGCAGGGACAGCACCAGCACCCTCAGCGACAGCACCAGCGCCACCCACACCTCCAGCGGCAGGACCAACAGTAGTAGGCTCAGCACCAACGCCCTCAGCAGCTCCAGCTCCAGGAGGACCCGCAGGTCCAGCAGCTCCGGGATCGGCAGCACCCGCACCCTCGACGGTCGAAGAAGCTCCAGCTCCAGCTCCAGCAGCACCTCCAGACTCAGCAGCACGCCTCCAGCGGCGAGCGAACCACTCGCGCAGCTCCTGTGGAGAGAGGGGCTCCCGGCGAGATGCAGCAGCAGGAGAAACCCCAGGCTCAGCAGCTCCAGACGCAGCACCCCCAGGCTCAGCAGCTCCCAGCTCAGCACCCCCAGGCTCAGCAGCTCCCGACCCAGCACCCCCAGACCCAGCACCTCCAGGCACAGCACCCCCCGGCTCAGCACCCCCAGGCTCCGCACCCTCCGCAGCAGCACCCCCAGGCCCAGCACCCCCAGCAGTAGCACCCCCAGGCTCAGCACCCCCGCGCACAGCACCCCCAGAGTCAGCACCCCCAGGCTCAGCACCCGCAGCAGCACCAGAGTCACCAGTAACCTCGACCGGGTCAACGGCGTCTACCTGGGACACACCTGAGGGGGCAGGAACCTGAGGGGGGAGGGGGTCTACCGGGGGGGGAACCGGCACAAGGAAGTCCGGGGGAGGGGGGAGGGAAGGAGTGCGGTAGGGGAAGAGACGGTAGAAGGGGACTGACTCGTCGAACGTGACGTCCTGGGAGGACAGAACACGACGAGAGGAGGGGTGGTAAAACTGCCACCCTGGGGCGTCAGTGGGGAAGCCAAGGAAGACACAGGGAGCAGCACGAGGGGACAGCTTGTCCGCAGACAAGTCGCGGACAAACGCCCGAGATCCCCAGACACGGAACACAGACGCATCGCCAACCTTCCCCGTCCACAGCAAGGCTGGGGACATCGCAGGCCGAGAGACCCGGGGGTGAAGGTTGAGCTGATGCGCCGCGTACCTCACCGCAAACGGCCACAGAAAATGGGGGGCAGCCGCATGCATCATGGACGTACGAGCGACATCCATGACCATGCCAATGCGGCGCTCAGCAATCCCATTTTGCTGTGGTGAGTCCGGAAGCGTGAAGGTCTGGCGGATCCCCCGTGCACGACAGTAGTCTCGCAGAAGGCGAGAAGAGAACTCTCCGCCTCTGTCCGAGTGCAGACGCAGAACAGGAAAGTCCGAGCCGAAGCTCTTCCTGAGCTGGAGACGAGCCTCGCGGATCCAGTCGATCAGCACCTCAGTGACCGCACCCTTGCTGCGCAAGGGGAGGACTGTGGTGTAACGCGAGTAGTCGTCAACCACCAACAGAGAGTAGCGCTCGTGACCCTGCCCACGGACGGGAGCTGGGCCCCACACATCCATGTGAAGCGTCTGCAGGGGAGCCTCTGTCGGGGGGAAGTGGGAGGAGTGAGGAGTAGCCCGGAGGCGACCCTCGACACAGGGGACACAGGAAGGTCCTGGCCCGGAGGGGAGAGGAGGGAGAGACTGGGGAAGACCAGAGACAAGGACACGGGAAACCATGCTCCGAAGACGGGGCAAGGAGGGGTAGCCAAGACGGTGGTGCCACAGGAGAGTCTCGTGAGACAGGAGGCGACAAGAACAGGGGGCAGACTCAGGACCTGACCGGGACGCAGCAGCAAGCACCTGACCTGACGCAGCTACCTGACCGGACGCAGGGACAGGAGGAGACGAAGTGGTCAGGGTGTAGAGACTCGACCCCGGCCGACGTGAGAAGGTGGCCAGGTGTCGGCCTGTGCGTGCGTTCGTGCAGTGGGTCACTCGCTGACTCGCAGGAGTGAACTAGTGAACCCCCGCATCCTGCAGGGCTGCACCACTCACCAAGTTCGTAGAGAACGAGGGAAGGTACAGACCAGACAGGGTGCCCGAAGGGGCAGCCGGACACGGGAGGACAGTGGAGAAGTGAGACAGGACAGGACCCCCAGAGGGGTCAGCAAGGGAGACTGCAACCGGCCGGCCGAGCGGCGTAAGGGTAGTGCGGTCTCGAAAGAAGGAGCGAGAAGCCCCGGAGTCAAGTGTGAAAGTGAGGGAGGACGAGGACGACGCAGTACCTGAGAGCGCAGTCTCACCAGTACCTGAGAGCGCAGACGCACTGGCACCTAGAGCAGCAGCCTCACAAGCACCTAGCGCAGCAGTACCAATGCCCGGGTCGGGCTGGAAACACCGGTAACCCTCATTCTCCTCACTATAAGTCACAGCATACATAGCAGCAAGGATAGCATCAAAATCAAGATCAAAAATCGCTACACCAGCCCTAAGAAGCTCATCCCAGCGAGGGATCTCACTAGCCCCAGGGAACTGCTGACGCCAAGCGTCCGTCAGGCGGCCAAAGCAGCGCTGGGTGGCGTGGGCACCCCCACACTGCTCACCCGCGCGGTCGCCGGAACGAAGAACGTAGGTGCAGGGACCAGTACCCCCACCCCTCTGACGCCCAGCGTACCACTCACGAAGCTGCTGAGGCGGAGGGATCTCCCGCGAGCGCTGCTGCTGCTGCCGCTGCGAGCGCTGGCCACCACCGCCGCTACGCTGCTGGGTACCACCCCGACCAGCTCCACCTCCTCCACCACCACCGCCTCCTCCGCTGCCGCCTCCACCGCCTCCACCTCCGCCGCCTCCACCTCCGCCGCTGCCTCCACCACCACCGCTGGCACCACCACCACCGTCTCCGCCGCTGCTGCCACCACCACCACCACCCCCGCCACTAGTCCCGCCGCCACCCCCACTCCCTCCGCCGCCACCGCCGCCACCGCCACCGCCCCGTCCAGCTCCACCCGCGCCCTTGCCCCCCTTGCCCTTGCTGGAGCGACGTCTCCCACTAGGGGCAGACGCCGCGCCGACCGACTCAAGACCAAGCAGGTCGGCAGCAGCAGCAGAGGCAACAGAGGGCAGCAAGGGGGAAGGAGAGCACCCCTCAAAGATGGGGGTGCGAGGGTCACCACGAGAAGCACCTACAGCGACTATGCTCTTCTCCGCTGCGAGGAGGGCCTTCTCGAGGAGGTCGACGGTGAGGGTGGTGGGACAGACTGCGAGAAAGTGGTCCCTGACGACGCGAAGGGAGTCAGGGAGGCGCGCGACTACGTAGTAGAGAGCGATGTACATGGGGGGGGGGGGTTCTTAGCGCAGAACTCAGCAGGAAGGGCGGCGCAGTAGCGAGTGTCACTAGTGCGGAGGTGCGTAATGAGGTCAGCGACAGTGGGAAAGGCAGAGAGGTCAGGAAAGAGGTAGGGAAGCATGAGACGGCTCAGTGCAGCAGTGGCAGGGGAGGAGTAGCGCGCAACTACAGCGTCGTACAAGGTCTGAGCACTCTTGTACTGACTAAAGTGCGCACGCTCAGAGGTAGGGAGGTGGCGACGCACAGCAAGACGTGCAGCAGCATCACGGGTGGCCCACTGAGAGCGGACAGTGAGATCAGCATCAGCAGCAGGAGCAGGAGCGGCGCCAGAGGTGAGGTCAAAGAGAGAAAGGCCATCAGCCCTGTCGCACTGTAAGAACAGCTGCAGGTCGTCTAACCAGACCTCGAAATCAATGGCGCGACCCTCAGCGTCAAAAGCTAGGACACTAGGGGTAGCCATGGCGACGACAGCGAAGCAGTGCAAGCAGTAGGGAAAGAGCTCGCAGTGACAGTGGGACTGTGCTCACCAGGCAGGGCAGGTCGTGCAGCTCTGCAGAAAGGCGGCTCGGTGACCGGGCGGCTCGGGTGCACAGCGGCTCGGCTCCCGGGCGGCTCGGCGGCTGGGCGGCTCGGGCGCAGGGCGCCTCGGCTCCCGGGCGGCTCGGCGGCAGGGCGGCTCGGGTGCAGGGCGGCTCGGCTCCCGGGCGGCTCGGCGGCAGCGCGGCTCGGGTGCAGGGCGGCTCGGGTCCCGGGCGGCTCGGCGACAGGGCGGCTCGGGCGTTGGGCGGCTCGGCTCCCGGGCGGTTCGGCTGCACTACTGCCCGACTGCTGCAGGTGTGGCGGCGGGGCCGCGTTAGAGAGCCGGGGCGGGGACGCGTGAGGGCCGGCGGCGGGGCCGCGTGAGAGCCGGGGCGGGGCCGCTTCAGAGCCGGGGCGGGGCCGCTTCAGAGCCGGCGGCGGGGCCGCAAAAGAGCCGGCGGCGGGGCCGCTTGAGAGCCGGGGCAGGGGCCGCGTCAGGGCCGGCGACGGGGCCGTAAGAGAGCCGGCGGCGGGGCCTGGAGAGGGCCGACGGCGGGGCCACGTGAGAGCCGGAGCGGGGCCGCAAGAGAGCCGGCGGCAGGGCCGCGTGAGAGCCGGGGCAGGGGCCGCGTAAGAGCCGGGACGGGGCCACGGAAGAGCCAGGGCGGGGCCGCGACAGAGCCGTCGGCGGGGCCGCGTGAAAGCCGGCGGCGGGGCCGTAGGAGAGCCGGCGGTGGGGCCGCGTAGAAGCCGGGGCGGGGCCGCGCTAGAGTAGGCGGCGGGGCCGCGTAAGAGCCTGGGCGGGGCCGCGACAGAGCCGTCGGCGGGGCCGCGTGAAGGCCGGGGCGGGGCCGCGTAGGAGCCGGGGCGGGGCCGCGTGAGAGCAGGCAGCTGGGCCGCGTAAAGGCCGGGGCGGGGCCGCGACAGAGTCGGCGGCGGGGCCGCGTGAGAGCCTGCGACGGGGCCGCATAAGGGAGGGCGGCGGGGCCGCGTCAGTGGAGGCGGCTGAGCCGCAGGGGAAAAGGCGACCCGAGGGGTCGCTAAAAAAAAATCGCGCCCCGGGGCGCGCTTCGGTGGGCCCAAAAAAACAGTCCTTAGAAGGACCCGCTCTATACCATGTGAGAATAAACGAACAGGCGTTGAATGAACTAGCAGTGAAATGAGTACAAGTAGGAAACCCTAGAATTGTGTACCCCCTATAGGCTAACCCACTGTAGCCTACACAAGCATAACATATATAATGTTTGACACGGTCAGTATGGGAACTTAGAGTGCAAATGCCTGGGAGAACGGAACCGCTCAGATCTCGCATAATACACGGAATCTAGTGGTCTCACTCAAATATAAGGTAGGAAATATATTCATCTAGTGAACGTAAGGGTTTGAAAGGTAACTAACACACATGTGAAGAGAAAATGGTGCATCGGCCAGTCTGGCCGGCATTTCGCACTTATAGTGCAACTAGGGCCAAGGAGAACGGAAACGCTCATTTCTCAAAAAGTAAAGGGAATCTAGCGGTCTCACTCGATCAGAAGGTGGGAAATATATAAATCTAGTGAGCTAATAAGGTTCCGAAGGAATCTAATGCATATGTATATCGAAAGTGGTGCATTGGCCAGGTCGGTCAGTATGGGAACTTAGAGTGCAAATGCCTGGGAGAACGGAACCGCTCAGATCTCGCATAATACACGGAATCTAGTGGTCTCACTCAAATATAAGGTAGGAAATAAATTCATCTAGTGAACGTAAGGGTTTGAAAGGTAACTAACACTCATGTGTAGAGAAAATGGTGCATCGGCCAGTCTGGCCGGCATTTCGCAGTTTTAGTGCAACTAGGGCCAAGGAGTACGGAAACGCTCATTTCTCAAAAAGTAAAGGGAATCTAGCGGTCTCACTCGATCAGAAGGTGGGAAATATATAAATCTAGTGAGCTAATAATGTTCGGAAGGAATCTAATGCATATGTATATGGAAAGTGGTGCAATGGCCAGGTCGGTCAGTATGGGAACTTAGAGTGCAAATGCCTCGGAGAACGGAACCGCTCAGATCTCGCATAATACATGGAATCTAGTGGTCTCACTCAAATATAAGGTAAGAAATATATGCATCTAGTGAACGTAAGGGTTTGAAAGGTAACTAACGCACATGTGTAGAGAAAATTGCGCATCGGCCAGTCTGGCCGGCATTTCGCACTTATAGTGCAAGTAGGGCCAAGGAGAACGGAAACGCTCATTTCTCAAAAAGTAGAGGGAATCTAGCGGTCTCACTCGATCAGAAGGTGGGAAATATATAAATCTAATGAGCTAATAAGGTTCGAAAGGAATCTAATGCATATGTATATGGAAAATGGTGCTTTGGCCAGGTCGGTAAGTATGGGAACTTAGAGTGCAAATGCCAGGGAGAACGGAAGCGCTCAGATCTCGCATAGTACACGGAATCTAGTGGTCTCACTCAAATAGAAGGTAGGAAATAAATTCATCTAGTGGACGTAAGGGTTTGAAAGGTAACTAACGCACATGTGTAGAGAAAATGGAGCATCGGCCAGTCTCGCCGGCATTTCGCACTTATAGTGCAAGTAGGGCCAAGGAGAACGGAAACGCTCATTTCTCAAAAAGTAAAGGGAATCTAGCAGTCTCACTCGATCAGAAGGTGGGAAATATATAAATCTAGTGAGCTAATAAGGTTCGAAAGGAATCTAATGCATATGTATATGGAAAATGGGGCATTGGCCAGGTCGGTCAGTATGGGAACTTAGGGGGCAAATGCCAGGGAGAACGGAAGCGCTCAGATCTCGCATAGTACACGGAATCTAGTGGTCTCACTCAAATAGAAGGTAGGAAATAAATTCATCTAGTGAACGTAAGGGTTTGAAAGGTAACTAACGCACATGTGTAGAGAAAATTGTGCATCGGCCAGTCTGGCCGGCATTTCGCACTTATAGTGCAAGTAGGGCCAAGGAGAACGGAAACGCTCATTTCTCAAAAAGTAAAGGGAATCTAGCAGTCTCACTCGATCAGAAGGTGGGAAATATATAAATCTAGTGAGCTAATAAGGTTCGAAAGGAATCTAATGCATATGTATATGGAAAATGGGGCATTGGCCAGGTCAGTCAGTATGGGAACTTAGAGTGCAAATGCCAGGGAGAACGGAAGCGCTCAGATCTCGCATAGTACACGGAATCTAGTGGTCTCACTCAAATAGAAGGTAGGAAATAAATTCATCTAGTGAACGTAAGGGTTTGAAAGGTAACTAACGCACATGTGTAGGGAAAATTGTGCATCGGCCAGTCTGGCCGGCATTTCGCACTTATAGTGCAACTAGGGCCAAGGAGAACGGAAACGCTCATTTCTCGAAAAGTAGAGGGAATCTAGCGGTCTCACTTGATCAGAAGGTGGGAAATATATAAATCTAGTAAGCTAATAAGGTTCGAAAGGAATCTAATGCATATGTATATGGAAAATGGTGCATTGGCCAGGTCGGTCAGTATGGGAACTTAGAGTGCAAATGCCAGGGAGAACGGAAGCGCTCAGATCTCGCATAGTACACGGAATCTAGTGGTCTCACTCAAATAGAAGGTAGAAAATAAATTCATCTAGTGAACGTAAGGGTTTGAAAGGTAACTAACACACATGTGTAGAGAAAATGGTGCATCGGCCAGTCTGGCCGGCATTTCGCACGTATAGTGCAAGTAGGGCCAAGGAGAACGGAAACGCTCATTTCTCAAAAAGTAAAGGGAATCTAGCAGTCTCACTCGATCAGAAGGTGGGAAATATATAAATCTAGTGAGCTAATAAGGTTCGAAAGGAATCTAATGCATATGTATATGGAAAATGGGGCATTGGCCAGGTCGGTCAGTATGGGAACTTAGAGTGCAAATGCCAGGGAGAACGGAAGCGCTCAGATCTCGCATAGTACACGGAATCTAGTGGTCTCACTCAAATAGAAGGTAGGAAATAAATTCATCTAGTGAACGTAAGGGTTTGAAAGGTAACTAACGCACATGTGTAGAGAAAATTGTGCATCGGCCAGTCTGGCCGGCATTTCGCACTTATAGTGCAAGTAGGGCCAAGGAGAACGGAAACGCTCATTTCTCAAAAAGTAAAGGGAATCTAGCAGTCTCACTCGATCAAAAGGTGGGAAATATATAAATCTAGTGAGCTAATAAGGTTCGAAAGGAATCTAATGCATATGTATATGGAAAATGGGGCATTGGCCAGGTCAGTCAGTGTGGGAACTTAGAGTGCAAATGCCAGGGAGAACGGAAGCGCTCAGATCTCGCATAGTACACGGAATCTAGTGGTCTCACTCAAATAGAAGGTAGGAAATAAATTCATCTAGTGAACGTAAGGGTTTGAAAGGTAACTAACGCACATGTGTAGGGAAAATTGTGCATCGGCCAGTCTGGCCGGCATTTCGCACTTATAGTGCAACTAGGGCCAAGGAGAACGGAAACGCTCATTTCTCGAAAAGTAGAGGGAATCTAGCGGTCTCACTTGATCAGAAGGTGGGAAATATATAAATCTAGTAAGCTAATAAGGTTCGAAAGGAATCTAATGCATATGTATATGGAAAATGGTGCATTGGCCAGGTCGGTCAGTATGGGAACTTAGAGTGCAAATGCCAGGGAGAACGGAAGCGCTCAGATCTCGCATAGTACACGGAATCTAGTGGTCTCACTCAAATAGAAGGTAGGAAATAAATTCATCTAGTGAACGTAAGGGTTTGAAAGGTAACTAACACACATGTGTAGAGAAAATGGTGCATCGGCCAGTCTGGCCGGCATTTCGCACTTTTAGTGCAACTAGGGCCAAGGAGTACGGAAACGCTCATTTCTCAAAAAGTAGAGGGAATCCGGCGGTCTCACTCGATCAGAAGGTGGGAAATATATAAATCTAGTGAGGTAATAATGTTCGGAAGGAATCTAATGCATATGTATATGGAA